AAACTGAAATTAATTTTCATCACTGTTAGAAATGTTCAGTTCAAGTACAATACAATTTCAGCGAGCAGGTGCATACATTCCAGTTCCTCAGTACAAGTCTCACTGTTGCAGCAGTTTTCCTAACATCCGAAATCTTGGATAACACAGGGACCTTGTAAACCCACGCTTACCAGATGCAGAACATCTACAGATGTGCAGAAATACCATCACACCCAGAAAGTTTCACAAGAGAAGGAGGTGCTGTTATGAACAATCTTCCGGTTGCATGAGCACAGCACTGCAGCCTGACGCTGTGCACTCAGGGTGTAAACCCTCAACAAAGAGCTGTGAATGCAGAGGTGAAAACTCAGGCAGTCACAGCAGGGCTGTGCAGGGGTGTGAGGGCATGTCGAGACTACCGAGGGCCAGAGCAAGGCTAATGAGACTTCAAGACCCAGTCCTGAGCCCTTGTTTAGGTGGTTTGTTTCGCTGAGCAGATGGCACAGAGCATAGGGCCCCCTTCCCCTCACCCCAGTTTTGGGAAGGCAGAAGACCTAGTTCTCCCCACTGCATTGTTCTTCCTGGCCATTACTAAGTTTTTTCCCATGGGTGGTTGTTGCAGAGGAGTGGGAGTAGGAAAGGGAGAGGAGAAGGAGGGTGCCCTGAAGAGAAGCCCTCCGGAGCATATTCACTACCAGCCCCCTGGGATGATGCCCTCTGTGTGGCCCAGGCTAGCAGAGGAGATCTGCACATCTAAGGTTCACCAGTAACCCCCAGCTTTGTAAAGGCAGGAACTTGTCCTCTGTCAGTAAACATGCTTTAAAAATACAAAATAATCCTTTCCCAATCTCAACCCAAAGAGTGACTGAGCTCTCAGTCTGCTCCTTGCCAGTGGAAAGGAGGGAAAATCGAGGGAAAATGGCTGAGATGTGTCTGGTGTGCTCAGCTGCTTTGGTGGGGAACATGCAGCCATCCTTCCTCTTCACCCCTACAGTCATTCTGAAAATGTGTTTTATGAAGAGCAAAGTAATATTCAGTGGTAATTTGTACCTTAATTATGAACAACTCTGCTAACAGACGGGAATCCTTTCAGATATAAGATAGAGTGTGAAATATTTATGATTTGTGCACAGTACAAAACAGGAAGCCAGCTATTATTTCATCATAGTTTCTCCCCACAGTCTCCTAAATTAAAATGGAATTATTTGCTTCTGTCACCTCATACACTAAGGAAAATTATTAGATCCTAAACAAAAAATGCCCACAATGTTGGTATTATAATCAACTACAAAGTATATAATAATAACTTTGAGTACAGTATATATCTTAGAAATAAATTTTAAAATAACGGTCTACTTTAGAGTATAACCTGCAAAATTGTAGACACTTTTTAAACTCCTAAATGCGTATGTGAGCCACAGATTTTACAGCTGGTAGCGCATAATGGCGTATAAAATTTAGTACATTATAATCTAATTACAGAGCAGTTATTCATAGACTTACTTGTTCCATTCGGTATTATCTGACCTGATACACTCTAAGGATTCAATATTTGCCCTTGATGTTTTGCCTGGAAATAGGAAATTCTGAATATTGGCAGTAAAAATGGCCAGTGTTTTGAAAGAAGGTATTATCATGAGTTGGTTGATGGAAGTAGGTTGTGTTGAGGCAGTGGAGAGTGCAGAAAAATGATGAAGGACAGGGAAATACAATGATAACTTAATCTCAGCAAGCTCTCATTGCAATTGCTGTGATGGATTCAGGTCAAACATAAGCAAAGTGTAACTCTAATTGGAATAATTTAAGGAATTCAGGAACCCCCGAAGATTATTGAGATTTATGTCAACTTCTTATTCATATGTTATAATAAAGCTTTAAAAATAAATAATAGAAGGTATCATATAGTTAAATAAATAAAAATGTTAGGGCTGGCAAAACAAGTTTGATTACAATAAGATGAATAGGGTTGGGCTTTCTGATTATTTCTGTTGCTCTTTTTTTGCAGAAGAGAATGTTATTTTTGAAGACATGCTATTAAAAGAAACAAAAGGTAAAAAATTCCCAGAAATGAATCATTCGTTATTGTTTATACAAGGCTTTGGTCTGAAGATGTAAACAATAAGGAATGTGCAAAATAAAGCCTTCCTTTAGTGGGGCACTTACAGACAAGTGCCACTGTTTTTGAAAAGGTCTGAACTTTATTAGAAGAGTCACAGTATGTATTAAAAACAATCCTTAACAATAGTTTCTGGTGACTTCACCAACATTTCACTCTCTAATTATGTAAGGAATGTATTTTATGTTACATACTTGCAACCGGGTCAGCCCTGGTACCCTGGCACCCTACCCGCCAGTCTGAGTATGATTTACAGAGGTCTTGATCTTTGTCATAGCAATTTAAAAGTAGATGAATTATCTGCATCTCCTCCAATAAAAATTAAAAAGAAGACAGAAATGCTCACCAAGTCTTCTGTGGTAAAAGGACGGTGATTCTCCTCCACTGAGTAAATTCACTGGAGTGGTAAATACTTGCTGATGTAAACTCCTGACAGCTCGGCATACTGGGAAGACATTCCTTGAAGTAAAACATTTTAAAACCAGATTTAATACTGAGGAAAAATTGGGAACAGAAGTAAGGGTTAAACACTTATAGAAATAGGAGTGTGCCAGGGTCCAGATGTTGGAGTGAAAGACACAGAAGGAGAAAAATCCTGGCATGATGCAGAGAAATTTCTCAGAAAAGTAACAGTAGTACAATTAAGGATAAGCCATATGATGCGTTTAAAGAATTCAGCATTAGTAACTAGCAATGTGCTGTTTTCCTCCATGAGGGTGTGTACCTCAATCATTTTACTACTCTCACCCCAGCACCTACGGATGACTGTGAAGTAAGTCTACAAGTCCACTACGGAATAAGCCTATGAAAGTGCCCTCCAGACTACTGTACCAGTCATTTTAGAGACCTACTTACAAACTCTTGCCTGGGGATGCTGGCTTCCCCAGCTCCCTCACCTGCAGTGGGAAGCAGCAGTAACAACACAGCCACACAAGAGCACCCAACCACGGTCTAAAGAATTTGCTTCCAGAGGCCCTTACCATGATCTGCAGCTGTATTACCTTTGACACCTGCAGCAAGTGATGTAAATCCCCCTTTCGTGCTTCTATGATTCTTTCTGAATTTAATTCAGATTCCTAGAGAGGTCTGTTCCCCCAGTTTTCTTTTTTCTTGTCAGACAATCTAATCATTATCACATTTTTTTTATATTGAGTATAGTTAAGTCCATTATCCCCACCTCTCACTGTTTTCTAGAACTGCCCTTAGCATGTTATTCCATTTTTCCTCAGTATTCCATTCATCTATTTATACATTGCCAGAACAGCACCCAAAATTTCTGTGCTATGGTTTTGGTGAGGAATTAACAAAGTGTTATTACCAACCTGTGTGTTCTTTTTCTAGCTACCCATTCAGAGAATCCCTTCTGCCACTACTGCCACAGCACACTTCCAACTGACTGTCTCCACCTCTCTGAGAGATATTACATTATTTTTCAGAGATATATATTGCTCAAATATTTTAGAGTATTAAATGTAGATCTGTTAGCTTATTCTCTTGGTTTTTGTTTGGTTGTGGTGATTTTTAATAGATTTTTCTAAAGGCTTAGTATCCTTTCCAGCAGTTTTCAAACATTTTTCATTGATTCATCTCCCCTGAAAGATCTTACAAACCAGGATCTCATCAGTGCTCACGAAGCAAACAAAACTTTCAAACAAAACTTTCAAACACTTTAATTAATTAGTGTTTTGTGTATTTGCCAGATTATGTCCTTGAAATGTACTACAAATAGCCATCTCTATTAGTCTTTTATCATAGCAACATGGGTGGTGTGAGAAAAATGGTTTGGCTGCAAGTTGTTCTCTCTGAACTCAGCTCCACTGACAGAGGAAAGGAACACTAAAATCTGAAGGCAACTGATCTTCCATTGATGGCAAGGACAAACCCCAAACATCCACCACTAGGAACTATTCTTGGGCACCATCATGATGCCTGCTAGGCATGAAAGACATAAACATCACTTGAAATACAGTATTTGTAGATTTCCTCGGGATTCTGTTTAAGGTAAGAAAGCATTACTTGGATTTAGAAAGTTTTAAAATTCTGTTTTTGCCATTTCTCTACCCTACCCATCAAAAGTAAATGTGGCAAAACGCAGCATGGCAAAAGGTAACAGGATAATGCTTTCATCGCTCATAGAAGATGTGGAACTGGATGTTCAAATCCCACTGTGAGCCTAGAGAGCAGGCAATGAAAAGGCACCAGGACAAGTTCCCTGAACCTGCTTGGAGGCAGCCAGAGGACCTTGCTTAGTTCACTCTGAGGCCAGGGGAAGTCCAGTTTGTCATCTAAGAGGGAAAACAAAAGTGCAAATTATGGCCAGATGCACTATTCACATTTATGCTGAGACAGGGCTGAGCCACACAGGGAAATAGCAGCCAAGCACTGCTATTTGCACTTCTAGCAGAGACTGGGAAACAGACAGTCATTACAGCCTTGGACTGTGTTTGAACCAGGGGTGGGAGATGAAACATTCTACATTAAATCCCCCAAAGGAATGCGCTTTCCATTTATGAAATGGTTGCGCAAAAGGGCAGAAAGAATTTCTATCCATTTAAATGCCAGGGAACAGTAGATGCATTTTGCTTTGAAAAACAAAGCGATAGCACAACAAAGATCTTGGCCATTACTCTGCAGCAATGTCTAACTGTGGCCCAGTTATTTTCTCAACCTTGGTTCATTCCTGTCACGATTCTGTGTTTCAGGCTCTCAGACACCTTTCTTCCAAATATCATGAAGAACAGTTTGAATATTTATATTAGTAATTTTGATGATTCCAACTGAGAATTTCTTTAGAAAAAAGGGAACGAGGAAACATTTTCTTTTGTTCAATGCCACAAGTATATTTCAGATGATCTTTGTATAAACAGAGTTTGTGGAACAGAAAGGTTTTCGCTGCCAGTCTCACCTCCTGAACAAGATGCCACGTGAGGCCATGGTTGGTGGAGTAGTCCAGTTTCACTTGATTGTCCATATGAGGAGTAAACGCTTGATCGCAGCCCATCACCAAGTTGAACTGTATCATATACGAAGCTCCAATCTGCATAGATTGGGTCTCCACGTAGCGCATGCTAGAAGCTAACTTTGAATCTCCTGTAAAACTGAAATAGGTAAGGGAAGAATCAGAATCCATCCCGAGACTAAATCAGAAGGTAACATTATGAACAATTCCATGTTAAACACAGCGATGTTTCTTTCTTTGTTCTGTGGATTGGCACGTGGTATGAGACCATGTGCAGAAGCCTCTTTCTGTTGGAACTTCTGCACATTACCAGGACGATCCTCTTGTACCCCAGAGTGTGAAACACTGAATTATTCTGTTAGTTCTTACTATATGTTCTTTGTAATAAGGATCAACTTAGGATCAAGCAAAGGATAACATACAGAAAAAACAACATAAAGAAAGTTCATTCCCCAGGAGTGTCCATTGCCTAAGGTCATGTCATAGTAACAGCTGTAATTTCATTCAAACAGCAGACAGTAAAGATACACTGCATTTAGTTTTAAATAGTCTTATTACATAGACCTTTAACTGCATTGATTTTCAAGTGATTCTATATGCAATGCATTCACTGACTTTTGACTGTGTTTCAGAATTAATATCGTATATCCTCAGCTGCTTTTCTGCAGGATGTGCTGATATAAGAGTTACATTATCCAGTGGATTGGAGAAGATAATTTTGTAAGTAGCAATGTTTGGAACACACGAAGCCTCATAGATGATACAATGGAACCCAGTTATCCAGTACATGGTAACATGTAGTTTGAAATTTTAAGGTTATTTAAATTTAAATGCAGGTTTTTCTTCTATGCAACATTCAAAAGTTAAAAAAACACGAACGAAACCAAAAATAGATGCAAAAGAGGTATAAGGAGGAAATAATAACAACTTAAACATTGAACCCTGTGCACTAGCTTTCAAAACAGAATGTTTTTAAGAAAGTTCATGTAGAATGAGAATTGCCTCCTTCTCCTTCATTTGTGATGTTCAGTTAGTGTTTTCCAAAGTCCTGTAGTCATTTCAGCTTTTACATTTTCTAAGACTGTTCTTAAATATGAAAAGTTTAGGATAGGGATTGCATATTTTTAAAGAAAATCACTGCAAATTGTCATGCAAAGATAAAAAGCTACATCCAGTAAGTGCTGATGAAGAGAATAATGGTCAAGTAAGTTACATTTCATCATCTTAAATAAGAAATCCTAATCTTTCAATACCATGCAATAAAACATATTAACTTCTACCCCTGTAAAATTCAAGGTTATGATGAAGTCAGTGCAAGGACTAGGAACAGAAGTCAGTGTTACTTAACACTCTTTTAAGTTTATTCACTGACTCACACTGTTTTCTATAGTGTCCTTTCCAGAGAAAGCAATTAAGCCTTAGATGTTACCATCCTACCTTAAAGCTTTAGAAGAAATTCCTTAAAACTGATACTAGTTTTGTCACCATTGAATTGCTGTTACTTGGCACAAGTTAAGATCCAGGCTCCTTTTTACTCTTTGACCTTGCTGTCCGTGACTTCATTTCCTAAAGGATGATCCAACTCATGATGCTGTATCAAACTACCCAGTCTACGTTGATCAGCACCATGAACCTATGGTGGATGGATATTCCCTTCACTGCTGGGGCACTGTCATGGACAACTGGACCAGAAGGCAGTTAATTGCCTTGGAAAACTGTATCTCAGCTGTTTGCTCTTTCAGTCAGTGTTGTCAGTGCTTTTCTTCTCAATGGGAAGAATAATTTTGAGTAGAGAATATAATGTGCACTTGTTGGCAGCCCAGCTGGCAACCTATGGTTTGTGGCTTCATTGTTAGAAGTGAATGTATCTCAGAATAGTTTGTTTGGATAATGCCTGAATTTATTTTTCTTCCGAACTTTATCTCGTACTTTTCAACATGACAAACCCCTGCAAATTTAAACATTAAAGCTGACTTGGTCTGACATAATTTTAATTTCTACAACACAGCTTGAAATTTCATGGCTGATGTGGGAAATCAAAGTTTTACAGGAGCCCTCTTGGGAAATCTGTGCCAGTACAACCAGGCTTTTCAGGTATCAGTCAGCCACGTGCAGTGTCATCGGCTGAAAGTTATATGTAGCTATGCTTTGGAAAATGATTTGGCATTGCACATGGGCACAACACATCACAGTTACCTAAAGCTCATCTGAAGAGAATAAAGGAGTTGAAACCAAACAGTTTGATGAAGCATCTGCCCAGAAGCTGTCCTCCCCAAAGTGATGGAAGACAAGTGAAAGACAGGTATTCAGCATAGGTGTAAAGAATTAAATGTTTCATTTTATCTTTGTCTCCACAAAAAATCTCTCTATTTAATATTACTGGTGTAAAACTGGACAAAAAAATCTTAAAGTGTAATCTTTTTTTAATTGGTGGCACACAGGTCATGACTAAAACACTTTTAAGTTCAATATTCATTTTCATTTAATAATTTAGCCACTGGATATCATACACAATACATTGAGTAAGCATTGTTTTAAAATAAAAACAGCTCTTTGGGAAGGATAGTAAAGAAATGTGAAAAAGGAAGCTAGCGATGAGGTGAAGATAATCTGTGATGCTCCATAAGAAGCTTTTTTAAGCAGAGGAAATCACATTATGGGTCCACAAAGCCCTTTATCATCCACAAATTACCTACAGCTGCACAAGGGTAGCATTAAAGGTGGGGGCTCCACGTTACTTGCTACTTCATTGCTCTCCAGCTCTCCTGTGTGTGTGGTTAGGTGTATACTCTTCTGCTGGAATACTAAATGTTTTCTTTGTTCTGGGAGTCAGGTAGCTGGAATAAGTTACTGGATTTTGCAAAAGGGGAGTAATGTCCCTGGTGTAACAATAATTAATTAAAAAAATCTTCAGAGATGAAAATGCAGCGGCTACATTTTTGTTTAAATATGTAGCTGTTTGTTTCTAGTACATATATAATTAGACCTGTGGAGGCTCAGGAACACAATACCCATAGGTGCCCTCAGAACAATCGCTTTCCCTCCAAGCACTGCCAACTAATTGGTACTTCTGGGAATGATATCACAGCCAATGTCAGCCAACCTGCACTGCTCCAAACTGCTCTGGGATCCCCAGAGTTACCATGTTTTCAAGGCCAGTACTTTCAGGAATACTGAAAAGCCACATGGATGCAGCTGGTTTTGTAAAGCTGCATTGTCCGAGAATATTGATGTGATGGCCAAATGCTCATGCCAGCCCCAGCTTTGCTTCCATCAAAGTCAGGAGATGTTTATGCCTTTTAACACTGCATCATACCTACTTTGCTAAATAATTCCTAAATGTATTATTATATTTTAATTAAGTCAATTACCTGAAAGAAACTTTCTGCATGTTACAGAGTAATAATCTAAAAGAAAATACATTTTTATAAACACAGGTAAACTATCAAGCTGATTTAGGGCAACAGTATTACATTGCTCCATAAAGATAGTTCATTATGAGCCAGATTTACAGTCTTCTCGCAGGCTGCCCCAGAAACCACAGGACACTCTATTGTCCATTACATTGAGTCAATTCATAATTTCATAATCTGACTGAAGATATTTTATTTACATAATGCTATTTTATTTGTGTCAAGATGAATAATAAAAAGAAAAGAAAAAGAAAAGAAAAAGTTAGTGTTAGCATCTTTATAAATTCTTAAATGCATTTCAGCTAGTGACTGTAAATTGTCTGTAACACTCAAGAGACATTTAGGTCAAAACCCTGCTTGTGTATGAGCATTTTGGAGAAGTGATGAATTAACGTACATTTCATTTGGAAATGATCTGGAACCTTTTCTCTATACTCAATGTACTTGTAGTAAAGCCTAAGAACCAATTTGAAACCAAATGTTGACAATTACAATCAGATAAAGTGGCTGTTCTAGGTATAGACCATTAAAAAACACTCAAAAATCACCTTTGCTCAAAACATATGTATATCAACAAAACCCTTCTTTCTAAATGAAACCAGGTATTGAAAAGAACAACCTCCCTCTTCAACAAAAATAAAAATCCCCCTCCTCATTTTTTCCTCATTTCCAGGGTAAATATTTCAGATTTACAGACTCTGAGGCAGAAACGGAGGCCTAATAGGCAATTAGAAGGCATTTCAGTGAAAATGGGCCTAGGGATGACACCTTGTAAAATGATTTATAGCTATTTCCCATAGTTCTACTAATGAAAAAGCAGTTGTGAGACTTTTCTCAAGAGGATGGTGTCAGTGCTACTGCAAACTCCGCTCATAGAAAGTCATGAGTTAGAAAATGAGAACCAAATGGACTCACAGCTGGGAAAAGCCAACAATAATTAATTTAACTAGCAGTCATTTGTACAGACCTTGTGTAAGTTTAAAAATTTCCCTTGAGAGAAAAAAGGTCAGTGAAGGATAGAGTTCATGTTCACTGATATATAAACAGTAACGAAATACTCCATCCCTGGCAGTGTTCAAGGCCAGGTTGGACTCTGGCAACATGGTCTAGGGTGAGGTGTCCCTGTTGTTCAACATTCCCACCATGACTGAGCACTAAATATCCTAGCCAATATATGTGATGGGGAATTCAGCTTCAGTTTGTTATTTTGATTCTGATTTAGAGTAATAGGAGGAAAACAGAGAAACTTCTGCTGTCTTAAATAACCTCCTTCCCCATGATAAACTGGTCTTACAAGAACAGAGGGAAAACAATGTCATTAAGAGGCTTTCATTCCAACTCTTTGATGAAGAAGATGCAAACAGTTTGAGCTCTAACATGTTCTTTCATTTTAATGAGCAGCAAGTACCTTCCTTGTCCTTATTAAAGTGGTTAATGGTGCTTCTACTGCCTCATTATCACCACTAGAACACGTTTGGTGTTGTTCCTACTGCTAAGCCAACTCCTTTTAGTTTGACAGATGATCAGAAAGTCAAATCAGGTTGCTCAGAGATTCTTTATAATAAAATTCCAACAGTGCTTTTCAGAGTGTCCATGGGGATGCTAAAATTATTTGTATTTTCTTGAGGATTTCTATAATTACTGTGATTGTACTTTCTCCACATAAATATATCTATGCCAATTAAAGCCATACTGGGTTTATATGTTGATCATACTAGCATGAAACTGTTATTTGGTTTTAATCAAAACACAGAGATTTAATCGAGCTTCCCTTGTATTAATTCCAAATGTCACACTTATGTATTTCAGAATTTAATTTATCCGAGGCAGGTTAATATTTTATTGAAGAACCTTATTTTTACACAATCCTAACAGAATTGTCTTTTTCTTTGTTATTCACTTTATTTTGTTTTATTGCCTTTTTTTTCTTTGGGGCAGGTGATATTTTCTTGCCTTTGTTTCTAAATACACAGCACATTTTTAGGCATAATTGCACTATGTCATAATGCTGATCGCAGTGAAAATGACTAAATGGATATAATACCAGACAAAATAACTACAAATGACTAACGTTCTACCAACATTCTGCTGCCTTTCCTTTTTGGATTGTAGTCTAATGGCCATGTAAACACATCTGAACGTGACTTACAAAATAATAAGGGTCTGCACTTGACAGATTGTGTCATAACCTGTGTACCCATATTAACCCAACAGGATTTTAACTGAAGATTATGAAAGTTTTCTAAATTGTTTCTAATAGGATATTTAATTATTTTGTGGATAAAGAATGCTACATTCAAGGTTCCCATCAAACATAAATCTCTGTGCAATGGGGTGTATAAACTCGCTGCTAATTACAATTAGATTACAACTGTATTTTTGTCCATAATGTGAGAATGAGACACAATTACTCTGAATAGCTGTCAGAAAGACTCATTTTCAGAAATAACTTGGTTCTTAGCAGGATGAATAGACAAAGAAAACAAAAGTAGAACGGAAACGAATATGTGTTTCTCACCAAAGAGTCCAGTCGTGTCCACAGTAGGGCTGGACATTTCCCAGGTAGAATCCCAGAGACTGTGTGACTTCTACTAGGTTGGTGAAGTCCAGACTGATGCTATTGAAAAGCACAGAGGTCATGATGATTTCATCAATAGCCCACACATCTTCACCTTGGGAAGAGTGATATGGTTGCCACCATCTGAACTGAATGCCAATCTGTCTTGCATCTTCAGGAAGCTCCACTGAAATTATTCTGGAAAACAAAAAAAGTTATTATTGAAAGTTTGGCTGTTTGTAATAATTCCATGGGGATGTATTTCATGCCTATTGTTTCTAACTGGCCCTAAAAATCAAGGGTTAAATTCATCCCACAAATACTTAAGCATCTACTGGTACAGCTTCTACCAGTGACAGGGGAATCATTAGTTCTCTTGGCAATCAATGTGTTTATTGAAAGATGGCTATGTGCAAAAGGCACAAAAAGAGTTTCCACTAATTCTGTAAATTTTGCTGTTACTGTGGAGCTCTTTGTAAATTTAAAGGTGCTCTTCCTTGTCATAAGAAACCTGAATGCCCTCTGTTTGAAACCCAGGAGATTAGACTGGCAAAAGATGTTCAGTTGACAAGGACTTAGAATTCCAGCTCCATTTTCTCAGACTAAGTGGATTTTATCCTGATCTGAAAACATGCATCTTCTTGACATCTGTCTTTATTTCTGCACAGCACTGATGCCATGCCTGTATTTCTCTTGTCCTAGAAGAACCCACCCCTGCAATGTGCCACATTCAAGTGGAAAAGGTTCATCTTGTCAGTGTAATTGTGCATAGTCTTTTTTTATTCTGTAGTTGCATAGAGATGCAACTGGAGGTGAGTCCAGGTGCTCCTCCTGGTATGCAAGGTCACCTGATTTGTCATGTCAGCTATGTCAACAAACCTATAATTGACAAACTGCAAAGAAAATTAAGAGTAATACCTAATTTACAGGAGCAATTATTACACACAGCAGCAGGAAGCATGCATTAATTGCCACAGCAACGACACCTTCTTGAAAGCTCCATAAATCACCAGGGCCATGGTGCCCCACACAAGGCATGCGAGCTCTGAAACAGACTGGCAGCAGAGACATTTGTCTCCATTGGTGTACAATTACTTGCTGGCAAAAGGATTTTTAAGCAAGCTCATCAGGTAGCTGACATTCTTCTTTCTCTCTTAGAGGAAATGTGGATAAAATGACAAATCAGGTAAACTGGAAACATTTTATATTTTAGCACCAAGTTTTTTGCAGGTTTAAGGCTTTCCAAGCTGCCTGTTGTAATGTTTCATTCTGTACATATGAAGCAGTCTTGTGCCTATGGCGCCCTTAGTGCAAAACCAGTCTTATAAATGACTTGTTAAACTGTCCTTTTAGAAAGCAAATTTATAATACTGTTGTTTAATGTCACATTGATTTTAAAGAAGATGACGTTGATCCATTAGCAAGAAAAATTCAAACGGCTTGGCTAAACAGATGGGAAGAGCTCAAAAACTCCTGTCTGGTATTTCTAGGAGTTGCTTTCTGCCCGTCGTAGGTTGGAGAGAGCAGTGTCAAGGGACAGACAGAGGTAATGGCTGCTGTGTCCTTGTGGCAAGGGAACAGCAGTGCACACACTTTATGTATGGCAGATACATCTCTTTTATCACTCAAATAAACATGCTTGAACTACTTCATACCTTTCTAAGAGAAAAACCAAGCCCCATTGCTCTCTAGCATGTGAATAAACTACAAGGACTTTCTTTTTACCAAGGATTCCCTAATAAACAGCAACTCTGTGGCTTTTTCAGTAATTTTTTAAAGGCACAAATGACACTAAATTGCTACTGATGCTAAAAGGCACTGATGGATTTAGTCCCTGATGGTTCAGCAGAGTGAACCTGAGGAAAGCCTGGCTAGGAGAAGCACTGTATCCAGCATATGCTGTGAAGCACTTGGCACTTGTGTGAGCTAATGCTCTGTTATAATCCTGGGTGTATTTCTCTGCTGGTGGCTGTCTCTGATGTCTGCATCTTCCCTTTCACTCTTAACTCTCATAAGCTCACCCAAATGGACACTAATTCTCACTGACAGTAATTTACAGAAAATCCTAAATCATGACATACACCGCTGACACACCTATCGGATGTTAAAATATTTAACACATGTTAAAAGAAATTTTTCATCCCAGGGGATTAAGCAAACACAATTCAAAAATGTTGGTGTAAACCAGCGTATATGGCACATATGTTAGTATGCAGAACCTGACTACATCTCCAGTTATAACAGCTTCTCCTGTCTGGCTTTGATTTGTTGGAGATAGATGGAGAGGGAGGGGGATTCTTGCTAATGACTTTTCTGCTGCAGAGAAGAAAAGTGTTCCTACTAGCATTACCAGCTACCATTAGATTTCTTAAAAACCAGCTGGGAGACCTTTGCTCTGATCTCATTCTTTCAAGCTATGCGCATACCTAATATTGAAAAGCCACTGCTGTTCTGCTCAGAAGAAAAATGCAGCTGTCAAATGTTAGCAGATTAAATGCACCTTTTCAGCAGAACATTAAATGTGTAATTATTTTTTGTACGACTGAAGATTAATTAAATTTCTGGATACAGATTGATTGCCAAACTTTGTGGCAGTCCATCTATGTTACCAAAAATGCTGATATTTTCAGATAACGTAATATGAAAAGGTGAAGCTTTCTTCATGTTTTTCATCATAATTATTGCCAGCATTATCTTCAGGTTTGTATGTCTGTCATTTTTCTATCTACCCAGAGTGGATTATACATACCCCATGGCAAAACCTTTCTAACATATGTATGTTGTGCCCAGTCAGAACAACAGAAACTGTGCTTCATACTTCATCTCAAAAAGCAAGAGAAGTCACTGGCATCAGTATAATTTACTACATTTATATCTTAAACTTCATTAAAGTCAGTCACCGAAATGTGTATTTTCCTTTTTGATATAAAAATTTAATAGTGCTATATATTAAAAACCTTTAGGGAAATATCATTCCTACAGCTGTAATCTTGAATCTAAGAATTAGAAACAGGGCCATATAAAATATATATGTGACTATAATAAAGAACTGAAAAGAAAATGTTGAAGAAGGCTTATGACTGTGCCAGTTCATAGGATCTTTCCTTTGGAAACATTTGCAACTTCAGAAATTACAGTCTACATGCAATATACTTCTACCAAATATGGTCATTCTTCTCAGATTTTTGAGTATTTCTTATAGCTCCTGGGAAATATATTTAATATTACAAGGGTTTTTTTTCCATTAGAAAAAATTTCTTCATTAAATTTTCTTCATTAAGAATATACTTAATCACATTTAGTATATTGTAATTTTGTCCTGAGTTATTCACGCGATGAGGAACTGTAGTATTTATTTTTTTAAGTGTGCTGATCTGAGCTCAATAAATATAAATAATGAAAGTTATGTGTCACTGAAGTGACTTGCAAACTATCTACATTCCCACCCCTGGGGCTGACTCAGGCATTACCCTGGAGCTGGGTGGAGGGGTAGAGAAGAGCATGCAGGGCAATACCCAATGCAAAACAGCTCTTGGGCAGGAATTGACCTGCTGGGATGGGACCCACAATGCCATTGTCAGCTCTGCCCGTCATGTGCCCCTTTGCAGAGCATCTCCTTTCACTGGGATTTATTGGCTCTGCTGCAGCACCCTGTGAAAGGTGGATGCTTCCAGGTTTGAGTGGGTTTGCACAGAGCCAGCCCAAATTGTTCTGGGCTGGTGGTACAGGCATGGCCATGGGGACTCCTGATTTTACACTGCTTTCTTACCATTGGCGCATGGTCTTACAAATGTAACAGTAAAGAATACCTTCTTCTCTAAATACTTCAGATACATTTCTCTCTGATGCCAAACATAGGTGCTGCTGGATAAGATGAGCTCTTAATTCAGCTTCCTTGTGATTTGTACAATTCCTAGGCACAGTCACCAGCAGGTCCTCCAGGGCACTGGGTCCAACCCACAGGCACAAAGTCATGTAATCCCCTTCCTAATGGGAGCAGGCTCAAATTCCCTGCTGACTTGGAGAGGTCCTCACGGTCAGATTTTGTCTCTGCTGTCCTGCACTGCCTACAAACTCCTAATCCCAGAGGATGGTGTAGTGACGGTATCTATGGCTTCAAAGTTACAAATAATTTATGTTAATTTTTCTTTACAAGTGGCTGCTTCCATGGGAAGAGACATGTCCCTATTTCCCACGAGTGCATTTCTACCCCTCATTCTGCACTGCCTCAACTTGTTCTGTCACATCACCTGAGACCAAAATGCTGTTAAATCCATGCATTCGTTTTTACAGAAGCAGGCAAAAATGGGAAGTGCTCAGAACAGCTGCAAATTTTGAAGGAAAAGCAGGAACTTTCAGTGTGCCTTAAAAGCTCTTTACTCCCACACCATGTGGGCAGATGTACTTCCTCTCCACATTGTACTGACTACCACTACCAGCATTAACTGCATGTAGATAACGTTCGTCATAATATTTGTGCATATACCTTGGCTCGTGGTAGTTGAGATAAGAATAGTGTTCCAGGAGTTTCCAGGTAATCCCATTGTCATAGGAATAGTGCAGCAGCACTCCTTCCCCAGGCTGGTCAGGCGCTTTGCAGGTACTCAGCACTGACTTGCTGCCCAGACGTAGTGTGAACTGCAGGAACCTGTATTAGAATCACACATGCATTTATAGGGTACCATTTGCATAGTGTTTTGGTTTGTTGTTTCCCCAACCAAATTGTTTTCAGATTTTCACAATCTAGGCAAATTTTGGTAAATATCAGTTATGGGGTTTTGTGAGTGCAATTTGTTTTTGCTGTCAAGTAATGCGGTGTGGCACATATAGTTAAAAAATGCCAATCATTACAGCATTTAATTATTTATTAGGCACTGAAGGGGAGGGAGAGATAGTGAATGGATCTAATCAGCTGCCACAAGCTGTCAAATAAACACAACCTTATAAATAATTAATTAGCACTTGGCTTTGACACTCAGGTTTGATATTAACATTTCATATTTTCCATCTGAGCTGTACAATAACTTCCCTCCAGTCTGTGCTGGGCTCTGTTGTTTACAAAGCAGGACAAAAGGCAAGGCTATGAAATCACCACTGAAATACAGAACTAGGAGTGTTTAAAAAACTTTTCTTCCTACTAATACAACTGGCTTAATAATACAGAAGGTCGTAGCTGGAAGGGGAGGGGTTCCCCAATTTCTTTGCCTCACAGCACTGCTCTTTCCTTCTCACCTGGACTGGGAGCTGTCAAGGAAGGAAGTGATGAGCTGGCGCCTCCCATCCTTGTTGAAGACCAGGGCCTTGCCGCTGGCCAGGACCCCACAGCCAAAGCTGACCTCAGCCCCCCGGATGGAGTAAAAGCTGTGGTAGGAGGAGAGGCGGGAGCTGGCAAAGCTCTCTGAGATGAACACGGGGAAGGTCTGCGATGCCATCTCACACGCTGGCCCTGAAAAGCCAGGGTCACACCTGGGGGTGAGGAAGATTGAACAGTGGAGTTAATGACCCATTTTCTATGATTAACCAAACTGTTGGCAAAGCAACACAGTGGCTGCGGTTGTCCATGAAGATGCCTACAAAGTCCCTCTCAAATACAAGGACCAAGAGCCTCTTTAGGCTGTATTTAGGTATTGCATAGCCAATGACTTTCTTTTAGCTAGTACTTACTTTTCCAATTAAAAAAAAATCCTAGTTATGAACACCCTACCAATCTACACATAACACACAATACAGAAATACTTGTATTCAGTTTTGGAACAAAAATACTGCTGACATAATTTACAGCTGTTCATACTTAAAATGATTAATTTTCTTTTGTAGCATGTCAGATGTGATTGCAAGGAATGGAGTAACAGAACAGGACTCCCCTTGCGTCACACTCTTATTAATACCTAAAAGTAGTTGCACCAATACTTTGAATGTGCTTACGGGTTTTGCTTAAGTGCTTCTACTTTTTAGGCTGGAACCCTTTTAACAAGCCAGACTTCTGGAAAAAAGTGGAATGTTGACCTTCTGTCCTCGAGGTCCGTCAGGCTATGGAACATCAGAACTACGAAAATTGTGATTCTTTTCCATAATTTAATATAAAAGTGATACAAAGCCAAATCACCTTTAAAACCAGTATAAAGCACAGAACACTGACATTTCAGTGTGTTATGTAGCACTTTTTAAGGTGAATTGGAAGTTAGACTATCTTCCAAAAGAAAAATATTTAAAAATTATTAACTATGCTACTGTTCAGAAAGATTGATCTTTAACTCTCTGGAGAGCTTTATGCATTCTAGGGGCTAGCCTAGCTTTACATTTAGTTATCTCAAAAAGCCAGGGATGAAATGAAAATCACTTCAACTTCCAGATCATCAAGTGAATAATGTGACAGAAATTAAATACAAGTACTGAATTATAACTCTTACTTGCAGCCATTTCTAGTACACTGTCCTCGCCCTGAGCAGAATTTGAGGCAAGATGGACCAATATAAACTGCAGAGAAAAGAAATCAGTTAAATGAAGGGTTATGTTATGTGATAAATAGAATATAATGAACACAAGAAAGTAGGCAGACCTGATCATACAGATACCGATTCTATCTTAACCACACTAGCTGGAAGAGGTCTACAAAAGGATAAAATGCATTTGACTGTGCCAGGGATACCCATTATTATTTAATGGGTAATATCTATCTGTGACAGGAGACACTAGTGATGTTTCAGTTAATGTACCTGATTTTTCTAAGACTGTGGATGAGGTCTGACAAGTTGCTATGCATTGACCATTTTCTTGCCTTTCCTCTTCATCTTACTTCAGAGATATAATCCAGCATATATATTAGTACATTCTGATTGCAGTCTTACAGATTGCAAAAATGTGCCGCTGCTTCTCTTAATGAAATCCTCATACTTCACTGGACTTCCTGGAACTAGAACCTGCCCTGATGTGTTTTAAGTATCTATTAAATATCATACGCTTTCAAATGAAGTAAAATTCCAAATTGTATGTGCTCAAAAATACTCCAGATTTGTTTCACTATTTTACTTTATCTTCATCCAATGATTTCTTATCAATGGTGTTCATATTTTGTGAAAAATATGAAGGATGGGAAGATGAACAAATCTTAGTATAATCTACATCTCTGCTATAAAGAAAAACATTAATCTGGGTATAGACAAAATGGGATACACCTGGGTGCATCCCAAAGCAATAACTTGTGGGCAATGTTCTGTCAATACAATATGATAAACAGGCCTAACCATGAAGAGTGTCATCTTTTCAGTTGAATAATGCTTATTACTTGGAGTTATCCGCTTGCTCTGTGACTTTTGTAATGCCATCCTAATAGCCACCAATTTGAAATCATCTACAATAAGCAGTATTTACTCCCTCTCCTTGTTTTATGATGCTGCCCATCATAGCAGTGTGTCAGTACTCCCTGGCAGATGCACACTAAATTCCTGTTAGCCCATCAGATTTCATGTGATTTCTAGATTTTCTCACTTTTCAGGGTGCAAAAATTCTGTTCTGTTTATTTGTGTCTTTGGAGGTCTTTTTGAGGGGGTGGTAAAAGTAGAAGGGTTAAAGATGTAATGATGTCATTCAAAATGAAAAAAGCTTTATGGAAATTGGCAGGTTTCCAGTGTTTCTAAAAGATGGCCAGCTTCCAGATTTCATTTAAAACTTAATTCACATAAGAAACAGTTGTGAAGCTAAAAGTCAGAGTGCTGAATCCTTGAAAATTTTCCTCTTTTCAAGAATTTTAGTAGCTTGCCAATATTTATAAGTGTCCCTATAACACAGTGTAAAGCTTCAGTTTCACTAGTTTCTAACAAAGGAGGCCTGCAATACTTCAGAAACGTTATCATCTTTGACACTTGATTCCCATATCACTGTTGTACACCTCAAACAAATTTCAGAGCAGGCACTATTTTAGACAGATGGTTGGTAAAAATCCTGCAGGATGCAGAATTCTTTGATGGAATTCTATTTTGTTCTACAAGCAAAGGCCGTGCAGATATAGGAATTGTCCATTGATTTTCAAAATCCTGTTTTGTTTTGTTGTAAAGAATTTAGATTTTTGGCTTGATTTCATCTTGCTCTTGTTTCTGTGAACATCTATGAGCATCTCCAACACAAGTTTACATTTTGTTAGGTAGCAAATCATCTTTGCAGATACTTACAGACATCTTCTTAAGTTTACATACCTTAGTTTTCCCTTCATTTTACTTTCTTTTTGTTGTATATCATCTTCTCTAATGACAAGCATTAATACTCTATCCAGAATGTTAAGATGATACTACTTCTCATTAATATGAATAAGATAATAGTTTTCATTCATTTTTGAGACATTATCTTACTAGCTTCAAGGATTTTCTTTTCAAAACTAGGCATTAATCTATTTTAAGAATTTTGCAAAATGTAACTATTTACCATTCCCAGGCTCCATATCAAGCCTCACTGGGAATCACTACAGAATTTCATGGGCTATTGTACATCATGGTAAAACTTTACATTACGTACTTCACAAATCTAGCATAACAAATTCCGGATGTAGTTTACTTTGTCCCAAATCATTTAAGGCTAAGGAGCAAGCTAAAAAATTTGCACCTTCTCACAGTTAGCCCTTCCTATCACGTTTCTTTCTGCATTTCACACATTGTATCTATTTTATGCTGTGTTCCTAAATACTTTTTTTTTGTGATTTAAAAGTATTTACTTTGAAGACTGGCCCCTGTTATCCTCACTGCTTTGCACTGCATCCCTTTTCCTAAAAGAACAGTTCTCTGAAACAGATGGTACTTTCCCCCGGAGTGCCTGAAGACAACATAAAAGTTTTGTCAGTGTTTCTGTAGCAGCATGGCTTTATGGAAGCCTTCTATGTCCAGAAGGAAAAATATGCCCCAGGTGCTGTAACTTGCTTAGGCTGGTGCAGCACATATCCTTAATAAAGTAGTGTAGTACCTATTTATGTAATTAGGAGTAAGAAGTCAGAGGAAATGTTATATAAAGCCCTTGCCACCAACATATTTTCCTGGAAAGCATTCAATTAAAAGAAAAGAAAAAAAGGGTAATCTACTAAGCTATTGTGTTTTCAAATGGCAGAATTGCCCTCTAGCTTCAAAACATGCCTGTTACCAAGTGTAGATAAGAAGAAAAGGAATTTAACAAAATGAAAATCCTTTGATTTGTGATTGTGGAAAAATACATTTCCTTGGAGCAGCATATTATAATGTATTCTTCTGATGTATCATGATCATGGATAAGAATACTAACTATTATCAATTGCCCACATATTTCCAAGGATTGGTCCTGTTTGTCTCCATCGAATCCTGGTGTCACTCGTTAACGCAGCATTAGGAAGGGGAATAGTTATTCGGTTCCACCTGAAATATATATGACACAAATGTTAGCATTTTACACTGATAGTCATAAGGCAAATATATGTTTTGCAGATGTGTTTACTTATCCTGAAAGCATTGTTAGAATTTTTAATGCTAAAAGCTGCTCAAATGAAGCAATGAAGTTATTGCAGCTTTAGAAAATACAAATGAAAAAGAACATGGCTTATGATATTTTCATACAATATATGAATTATAATTATTACATTATAAAACACAGTCATTTTTCTCCCCGTATGAGTGTATGAAGTCAACAAAGACCTTAAGCTGCTTCACTGTAGTGACTTCTCTGTCACAATGGATATCTCCTAAATTGCATACTGAATTAAACCTTCCAGTATGACTGAGCTCTGTTAGATGGGAACCCCTGGGAGTGAGAAGAAGGGCACAGAGGATTTGGTCTGCTGTAGTCTGGGCCATCATTCCCTGGGCCATCATCCATGGGGGCTACACTTCCTACACACACTGGGGATAATGGTTCCTATGAAAGTGGTACAGAAATGGAGCATCACCAGGTCATAGCAATGCTTCAACTACACTTTTTTGTCACAGTCATACCCACTGCCCTGAAGTGTCTACGGAAGTTGGGAGACAGAAATATACAGTATGGGACTTATGCTACACAACAAGATGTCACAGTTCATTTTATGGTCAGAAGAGTACTGAAGAGACTTAATAGAGAAGGGTTGATAGAAGACTGTGGCACTAACAACTATCTCCATCTACAGAAGTACAGACAACATGCTTCACTGTAACTCAATATTAGTATTCCAAGTGAGTGAACATGTCTGAGGATGTAAATATGTCTTTGACTGATGGCTCCTCTGACTGAGAAGAAAACTTCTGTGGCTTTGACAAGGTATAGCTTTGCTGGTAATTCCCAGCATACTGTCCACAGTTGTTAGGTTTGGTTTGTTTTTTTTCTTGTAATTTGTCTTTAGCACCAGAAAAAAATATTATACCACAGAAGCAGCCCCATATATTTTAAATTTCATTAGTGGGCAGCCAGGGAGACCAGAACACTCCTTCCTTGCTGTCCTCAGTTAGTAAAAAATGAAAGATGACACGAGGTTGTGTGCTTTGCTGCTTTCTTCTGTCACCCATAATTCACTTCTCTAATCTTGCATCTCAGCTTTGCAGAGAGCACTCTCACCCGCTGTAGTTTTCAGAGGTGTAGACGGTGCTGTGAGGAAGGTGAGGTCCAGCACATATCTCAGGCAAACACTCAGTGTGGAGCAGGGACCAAGAGCGACCATGGTTGGTTGAAAACTCCAAGCTGACGCTGGTAACACAGTGAAGGAAGGAAAAGAGAAAGACACCATGAGCCTCAGACATCTGGCGTAGTTATGAATGTAGAAGTACCAACACTGAGAAACCACCAAATCTACTATTCCTAATAACTGATGCTGAAATGTGAAATAATTTGAAGCAGATTTTGCATAAAAAAAATCCTGAAAATGCAAACATGAAACAAATCTGAGCGTTTAAAGAACACCGAGAATTGTCTGAACACCTGATCTGTGTTTGGCCACCATCTAGCTAGTGCTTTTATGGTGCTGCTGTTAAATGAGCTAATGTTAGTCTTACATTTCAGCTAGAAATGGTTTCAAAAATAATGAGGAGAAAACTTGGATTAGTCAAAGCGAGACAGCAGGATGTGAGCACAGGACATATATAACTGCCAGCTGATAACCACTGCTTCTTCAGAAGGTGGTAAAAGACCACTGGTTATTCATGCATTGGCCAGCTCTTCCCTTTCATTGCTGACAAATATTAACTTCACTGGACTCCTCAGTCATCTGCCTCCTTCACCCATTGTGCCTAAATGGAGATCAAAAAAGCACTATGGAACAGTGAAAATGGCCAGCCCCCAGTGAGGACTGCAGAGGAGGGGGGGACCTGGGGAAGAACACCCTTCAGAGAGCCCTCATAGCAGACAGAGCCCCTGGGAGCCATGGGAGCCCCTGTGCTTCCCAGCCATAGTGGTCTTTGGAGGCTTCCTCCCACCTCTCAGAGCCTGGAGTGCTCTGTGGTGATTTTTTCTGGATTTTGTAACATAACTATATGTGAAAACTCCAGATTTGTTTGGAAAAAGGCTGCTGTTTGCTGGTTTTATAGACTAGTAGCAAATCAAACCATCCTTGTGCAGATAGTGACATTAGAGAACTCCAGACTCTATGGGACCATCCACTGAGTCTATGACAACAAGTTAATAAACCCATTTTCCCAAAAATTCATTGCGAAGTTCCATTTTCAAAAAGGTTTTACTCGATTTTTTTCCTTCCCTGTTTCACTGCATATTTAAAATGCTCCACTGTTGTCAATCTAGGAGTGTAAGGAAGTCCTTAGATATCTGACATTCTGAAGACCTTAAAAAAGAAATATAGAAAGTATTTGATTTATTACAGATTTAGTATTTTACTGAAATACTCTTGTAATTTCCCCCATGTAATTAGCTTGTAATATTCTGTTTTATCTTAAATAATGTCAGTGAAACATTATAAAATGTTTCATCACCTTAATATTAAATTATTGGATTATAACTTCACATTTTCACTATAATTTGCTGACAATATGACTTTATTTAAATGTTCCATCACTGTGATACTGTAAGTATGTACTAAAACAGTTTATGGAGGTTTTCACTAACTTATTTCAGATTCAACTGTACTGATACCTTGTAGGGTCATACTTATTGAATGCATTCAGTGCAAGTCTCTCCCACTGAAGTAATGAAAGCATTACAATAATGCTCTAGACCAGGAGATGGGAAATGCTGCTATATTTTGGACATACAAATGGGGATAATGGGGACCTAGTGCTCTTTTTGTTATGAAGCTCACTTCTGCTTTGGAAATAGTTTACACAAATGAAGAATATTAATCTTTCAAAATATATACTAATTTTCATCAGATAACAGACTGAGACAGAGACTTTATATAACATGCTTACAGTCCAGGAGTGTTTACAGGCAAAGTTTTCTCGTTCCATGTAGAAAAATATTGCTGCTTTCCCTTTCTATCAAATATAAGTGCAATGCCTTGATTTTTGCCGCCCACTGAATTCTGCTGCCCTGCATGGCAGCTAGGACTGTCAGTGCTAATGCAGCTCTTTCCAGTTGGAAGTGGATGCCCTGGAACACGGATGTGAAAGCATTTACAGTCTCTTACTTTAAGCTCTTGACTCTGGAAAAATATGAAGTAACTTAATCCTCATAAACTATCCGGATAGGCAGTCTCACACGTATGTAAAAAAACAAGGACAGTGGACAGTTTGGTTTTGTGTCCCTGTTTGAAGAAGGATGTTAAGAAACTGGAGAGATAGAGCAGAGGATGATGAAGATGTCGATGGCCTCAAGCACTGAGTGAGGAGGGTCTGAGGATCTGGCTTGCTCAGTGTGGTAAGGAGAGGTGAACTGTGGCAACCTGTGATGGTGCAGAGAGCACTCACGAGGAAGGCAGAGCAAAACTCTCCTCAGTACTGGCAGGTACAGCACAAAAGTCAGTGACCATAAAGACATGGCTTTAGAGTTTTGTAGTGGACATTAGGAAACATTTTTTCATTTAAGCAGGTCACCCAATATGCATCCATAGAGGTTTTCATGTCACAGATAAGCAAAGCTGTGGCTGACCTGACTTATGTTGGTAATAATCCCAGCTGCAGCAGTAGGTTTCACTAGATGATTCCAACCAACATGTCTCTGATTCTACAAAATATGGAGCCTTCTTCCTTAACTCCATGGAAAAAATTGAATGTCCTAATGAAGTGAAGCCAGCAGAAGAGGTCTGTGAAGTCCTCATACTGATGGTTATTAAGATGGAGAACATTTACCACCAGGCTCAGCAGGCAAGTTTCTGCCACTGCCTTTAGTACTTTCCCCCTTACACAGTATTAAGAGGTAAATCTCATATCCATTAGAAACTGAAGCAAAAGTCATTCTGAAATCATGAGCGTATTTCAGAATAATGGACTAAGAAAAGTAAGGTTTGACCTGGAAAGCTATTTAACAGACTCCTTATTGCAAATGAGAGATATGAATCTGGGTCTGTGGAGATCAGGAGAAACATTAGCTTTTGCACAGCTTACATTTTTCATTATTAATTCTCTCCTCCTTTCTGAGGGAAAAAAATATCCAAATACTCATACCGATGTTATAAACCAAAATGTAATAGAAAGCTGATAATCACAGGAGAGACCTCGCCAGTGGTACCTGTTACCAGGTTGATAAGTTCCACAACCCAAATTGATGGAAAACTGGATCATGTGAGTCACTGTGGAAGGAAGCACTGGAAGGACGTGGAAGTAATCCACAGCCCAGACATTCCTGTTGTGGCCTTGATGACTCTTCTGCTTCAGGCAAAACTTGGTTGCAGGAGTCTGCAGCTCCGGACTAATGACAACAGAAACCAAAGAGGGAACCTTTAAAAGAAATTAAATGAGGTTTAAATAAAACAAATACTATTAAAAGAGGTCACAAGTTACTATTAAAAATAGAAAAGCAATTTCAAATGTTATGAACCAAACATATGATTTTCTTTCTCTCTGCTTTATTTCTATTGACTTTGTTAGCCACTTTTTTCCCACAGAAGATCCCAAATAAAAATATTATTACATGCATAGCTATTAACACTCTGGATACCAGTGCTGCTTATCCCGTTGGTGGGATCAGATTGTTTGGGTGTAAAGACACTGCAGAAAAGGCTGTATCTTCTGTGTTCTGAAAAATACTAGCTTATTTTGTCAGTGCGCTGTTAGTAATGGAAGATGATATTTGTCCTGGAGCCTTTCAGCTCACAGAAGCAAATGCAGGGTAATGACATGTCTAGTCTGAATACGTGAGAATGGAGTAGCAGCATGAGTTCACAGGCGTATGTAGGGAGGATGTGATACTGCTGAAATAAATGAAAGCACTGCTTTACGAAGCTTAGCCTTTGTCTTAAAGTAACGTAATTAGAACTTTATTATGTCAGAAGAGGATGTCAGCTTTAAAACTGCTTGTTTAAAAAAACCCTCCACAATGAATTCAGTGTAATTTCAGATCCTATCTTTCTCCAAGTTCCCCAATTAATTTTTTATTATTTTACAATTACAGTTTCCTTAGTTTTAAAAAGTTCAACCCTGTCTTTCACACAGAAGCAGGCAAGGAGGGAAGCCATGCACAATGAAACAATGCAAGTGACTCAACCAAACTCAGACCAAACCTTGCTGTAAACATTTGCTCTCTGAATGCAGTGAAAATGCACACAGACCTGTGCTTGAAATCAGCTACATGTTTACCACCAAGTTTCCCACACACTGTATAAGCATACTGCAGTTCAATCTCTAGCATAAATACATGTGTATATGTATTACATATCAATTTTTGCTGTCTTTTTTACAGCAGCAGAATAAAAACACCTCAGGGCTGGGTTACTGAGGGCAGACAGGAAGGATCCTGACAGAAAGCTTGAGGTCCTTGCTGTCCTGCCTGAGAGTACTGGGATGTGGTTGCAAGAAGGCTGCATTATCGGCATAGGAGACACTGCCTGTGCACACTGTCAGCAACCACCTCCTATGGCTGAGTTCATGGCCACATCACTGCAGACTCTCTAAAAGGGCATACAACTATGTTTGAAACTGAAAGAAAAAGCGTAAAATGTGAAATTTCCTGCACTAAGCATGGGAAAGACACCCAGGCATTTCCGAGTCACTCTCCTCCCAGCCACTGATCCCACCATGACTGACTCTCTCAGGACATAAGCTCCTGAGTATCAAACAGTGGCTTGCAGGGGCTCGAGTGGGGGCAGGAGTAATTATCTGTGAGGTCAAATTTGACAGCTGAAGATTTGTGCCTGTTACCCCAGCACTAGCGAACACCAGAGTCCTGCTCAGGGATGGAATAATCAGCTCTAACTGCAGAGCCCGTGGTGCAAAGGCACCGTATCACTGTGAGATCTGCACATGATTTATGTGCTCGTCCAGATCATGTTTGACTGTCCCTGTGGAATTCAACATACAGCATTGTTGTGATGACTTGAAAATAGATTGATCTTTCCATCCCATCCACCTACTTTGGTTAAGATGATTTACCTTGTAAGCAGCATAGGTCAGGGTATCAAGAGGTATGTGTTCCCTCCTGCCTTCAATCTTGGCATAAAGCGTGACATCATTTTCATGGGATTCTCCAGAATCACAAGTTCCCCCTATACAACACACATTTGAGGGATAAAAACTTAATTGAAGCCCTTCTTACTGGAAAGTGGAATCATATTAAACAGCCATAATTATGAAAATAATTACAACCAGATGCTATTTAACTTAGGATATGAAACAAAAGAACACCAGCCCTAAGGACACAGTGTATAAGAACTATTTGATCAGATACACCATGCCAGAGATCAAGGACATTGACAATTATGAAAACCTCAAGTACCTCTTTTAATCAGCTTATCAAAACAAGTTTAATAGAAAATGCTGTGCCCAAAGCAATACTTCTATCTGTATGCTTTACATCCCATTTACATAGAAACGCTCTGATTTTTAAGCTCTTGCAGTACACTGTTATTTGGTACTTGCGCTCTGTGCAGCCAGACACATTTCATGTAAGGATTTCTTAAGCACTTCTCAGATGCCAGACTGTCAGCTGAGAACTTTCCTTTGCAGGAAATGAGGAAGACTGCTGTGAACCTTGTTGTGCTGCTGCTTCTGCTGTCTACACTGTATCCTGAAAGGGATGGATGGAGTCTATTGTATCACACAAAAGAGATGACATGGTTGCCACACTGGAATGGCGCATTGTTTGAAATAACTTGGTATCGGTAGAACCCAAAACACTTCTTAACCTCTGAAAGAGCAGCTGTATTGGCGAATATGAGCATTAAGTTCTGCACCATAGTTGTGAGAGGGACATCATCACACTCGTTTGGTGTTCTGGAAAAAAGTTTTTAAAACAAAGTATCTGTATTTGACACAGGAAACACCATTTCCCTGTACACTGTGGGTGCTGCAGGTGTAAAAAAGAACAACCTATGAAAAACCAGGATGAGAAAGCTTCTTTGAGAAGTCTGTAAAGTAGAAAGGTTGCATTGATAAAACAATGAAATACTTTCTCTGTTTTTTTTTTTTTCATTATAGGTAGATAGTTCTTGGTCCAGAGAAAAAGATAAGATGTGCAACTTTGATGTGTATTATACTATAATAAAGAACATCCACGTGCCCTTTCAAATGCTCTGCTTGCCTGAATGTTTAAACCATTATTTATTTAATTTACGCATATGTACAGAATAATTTTTCAAGTGATATCCCCCTGTTCTCTGTGCCTGTCTGCGCTGACAACTTCTCCCCTAAGTTCAGAAGGTTGAGTAAATTTCTTTCCTGTTTCTCTTGCAGGTGTTGTAATGCTTGGAAGAACTGGGAAAAAGCATCCTCTTTTTCCTGTGCTTTATCGGTAATTCACGTAACAGAGGAGACGGGCGACAATTTAGAATAACATGAGGTCTTCCACTCATTAATAAAGTATGTTTTTTCTTGTTGATTCAAAAGGTTGCTTGTGGAGGTCACAAGTTTAGTCTCTGCTTCCGCCTTTATTATTCTATTATTCTCTACTTTTAAGCAAAAATCTTTACCTCCTTTAAACACGGTGTTGAGAGAATAACCTCATGCGATTTCCTTTATTTGTAAAGTTATGGAAAAACACTGTGAGGTACTCAATGACACCACCATGTTCATCTTGATTTTGATGTTGCAACACTGAACTAGTGCAGTTGCACTAACAACAGGGAAGGAGGGGAAGTGACAGGACAGGATTGCTCTCGGCTGCTTTCTTAGCTGTGGGTAAATGAGCCAGGTTGCACTTTATCCAAGCAGGGAAGGTCTGCAGATGATGCTAACACCACATCAGTGATTTTCACAAGTGATACCACAGGTAGGCCATACCTCCTCCAAGACTGTAGCACACTGTAGCATGCTCTGTGTGAATCTCAGCCTGGACCAATAAGTTAGCAGAGGAAAATACTTACGAATATAGTAAGAGTTTTTGAGCAGAAACTATCCTATGGGTTCAGCCAGGTAAGGCTATCCCACTTCTGTGCTACTCCTACCTCATCCTCAAGTACAACTCCACTGACTCTGATGGATTTACTCCAGGGTCTACAGGGACGTGGCTGTGGGAAGATATGACGGGTATCTATAAGTCTTCTATGGTGTGGTAAGGATGACGAAGATATGACCATCTCTTCTAGTGATGGATAAAGGGGCATTGTGTGAAATTAGAAGATACAAGACAAGAAGATGCTTCTTCACATGAAGAATTGTTAAACTATGGAGCTGTGGGCACAACAGGCAGGTTCATTTGATTAAACACCAGTACCAAGGATCATTTTAGACACTGTGGAGAGGCCTGCATCACCTACCTCCTACGTCAGCAGGCTGTAACTCTCCCCCAAGTCCTAGGTTATATCTGCCAGCCTTGTGCTGCTGTCTCAGATGTACCTGGACACCTCAAGTGGCAACAGCTTGTGCTTGTATAATGAATCCTGCCTGAGGGGTGAACAAGAGTGAACCCACACCTATATGTGAAACAGCTGCTTAAAGCTTCCTTTATATTAACAGAAACGGAACCCATGCAGTCAGTGGAATCCAGGGAACTACTCAGCTGGTCCAGCACAGCTGTCTCCTGGTGAGCTGAATGATTTTTTCCAACAATGGTACTGACCAAATCTCCTCTAACTATAAAGGGAGTTTAGACACCAATCTTACATGGACACACGTTCTATATTTAAACTCTTTTAACCTGGAGCTAAATGTTTGTATCAGCAAAAAAATGGCTGGATAAACCCATGGAAGAAAAGCCCACCAAGGGCTATTAAACTCAGAGTCCCCTGTCTGGTTCAGAAAAGTTTTCATCTGCAAGCCAGTGTCATCTGGGAGATTTTTTTTGGGAGGCTTTTTTATGTGCCCACTGCATTTGTACACTTGTGTAGGCATCCAGAGTGGTGGACTCTCGTCTGACCCACAGTGGTCAGTCTTACATACTCATGGGCACCACAGATCAGAGCTATCCTCTTCTGAGGATTATTTAATATAGTCCTATGCAATTTAAATAGCACATGCTTCACATGTTGTATTACATTAGGAATATATACTCACCCATACTGAAATAAAATCTTAAGTTCCCATAACCTGTAGTGTCCATGTAGGGGGTGCATATTTTTCTTTCTCCATCTCTGAGAAATACCATAGCTGAGCCAGATTCCAGCGTCCCACATTCAGTACCAGTGATGGCTCCAAATATGTCCCACCTGGAGAGGCCAACAATGGGCAAAGAATGTGCAGGAGCATGTTATTGATGAACTCACACAAAACATGTTCTAGGGGTTCATTTGTACATACATAAGTAGCTGCTTCCACCCTTCCAGAGGACAAAAAATAAATGCAGCTTTTCAAATATGATCCCTATGACATTGCTTACATATTCAGTACTAGTTTTTAAACTCAGTTAACTGAAATAAAACAAAGTGAATGTAAATATCTTAAATAAAGGGAAGCATGAATTACTAAAAGAATGAGGTTTTTAATGAATGCTATTACCAAATATTTAGTGCTGTATTGTTCTATTACCTTCATTATTTTTCTGCCATGAAAACGCTTAAAATATAATTGCATTCTTTTTCATTTTGCATAATACAAGATTTACAGATCAATGAAACTTGAATAGGCACATGTCCACCATGTCTGCTATACAATCATTAAATATGTAGCTGATAATAGCTAAAAATGATCTCTTTTCATCTTTTTGAGCATTTAGGGTAGCAGTTTTCAACTGACACATGAACAGAGTATGAAAAAAGGCTGCTGTGTTTCTAATATGTGATGATAAAATCTTTCTCATTTTTTTCTGTACAACATTTTATCTTACTTTTATTCAGTGATAATTAAAAGAGCTGTTGCAGAATTTTTCAATTAAATATTTTTTATTGAAAATATGTTTTCATCATGAAAGCATTGGTTTCTTCAAAACCTGGTAAATATAAAACATTTTGAAGGATTAGAAACTGCTGAAAACCTGCACATTATTTTGGTCTGATATGTTATTATTCATGTTGAAGCCTTTATTTATTTGTAATAAAGTATTTTAAAATTATAAGGCTGCTAAAACAGTGAAATTATTTAGAATCACTAAATCCTGATAATCCAATCATTTAAGAAGCCAGCATGATTCGGGATGGATGAGAACACACTGAAGTTCGGAAACCTTTGTGGGAAGGCAGAGCCTTTTCCTGTCCCCTTCCAGCAGAAACAGTCTCTAGCAGCTATGTGCCATATGACAATTTCAAAACCTGTCATTTCATGAACGTAACAGTCTATTTATCAGTTGAACCATTCCAACTATTTCAAAATGTATTTCTAGGATTCTCTGATCTTCTTAAAAGCTGCCAGTTTCTGCATTGACCTAAGCTGCGACAGATCAGCAATGTGCCTTTTTGGAAATCCTTCTTTAAAACTGTCAGTCATTTACGCAGGAATTAGCAAGCTTAACATCACTGAAAAGCTTTATGATACAAATATTTTAATGGAAGTGCAGTTTAACCTAACCCTAATTCTGTCATGCAGACTTCTTAAAGCTGATGTGCAGTATAATCAAAACACAATTTTGAAAATGGGTCTCTTGGGCTGAAGGCAAGTGCAGAATTAAACGGTTGTGCCTACTTTATCTTACATGACAAAATCTCACAATGCACCATTGATCTTTTGTATGCTCTATTTAGCTCAATTAAAACACTCTCTGTAGTGACCCACAAAACAACTTGGGGCCATGAATGATGCAGATCCTGGATGTTTCCAGGGATCCTCTCCTTTTAGGCAGCATTAGAAATGAAATGCAGAATGTTCTACAATGCTAAAAAAAATAGCACTTAAATAGAAATACATCAACACACTTTAAGGACAAATAGAGAAGGAACCTGGGTGATGGTATGAGAGATGTGGACATTCTGGATTTAACATTACATTTGAATTGATTTATGCCTCAGAAGACTCTTGAAATTCTTCATTACAAAACAAGTGATAGAATGATGTCTGGATCTAAACTAGATCAACTGAACACGGAAGTCCAAAGCAGCAATGTATCTGCTAGAGGCAGAGGCAGCCTGATGTGGGGATCTGTCCACTTTTAGTACCAGGCCCTAATGTAAGCAATTAAAAGAGAATAGCGGGGGGGAAGACATGGTACTAACAACGGCAACCCCTATCCATGTAGCCTATTACTTTAGGTGGGACATGCAAAAAATACCGATCAACTGCTTGTTAAAAATAACAATAACTTCTCTGCCTCCACTGTTAAGCTGTTTCAGATGTCTCACCTCCAAGACCATTTGGTACAGAGTCAGATGGTGGTGACCACTACATGTGAGCTTCCTTTTGCTCTCACTTATGAGCGATGCTTTTGCCTTTCCATGAATAATAACATATCAGACCAAAAGAGCTGACAGGCTCCAGCTGATATTACAAACGGGAGTCTGAAAACTTCCTGCAAGCTCTGCCTCAGGTATAAAGTGTGACTATTTGAATACAGCAAAACAATATTTCAAATACCATTTAAATAGCTTTCAAAAATTTTTCTCCAACAAGGGATTAAGGAAACTCATATACTTGCAGATGTGTACAATTCCCAAAGCCAAGCCCCACAGAAATGTTGCAAAGAGGGACAGCGGTGGTGATGATCTTGTATGATGGGGATGTAGTCCATAACAGCACCCAAGCTCACTGTCTATTCATGTTTGCATGCAATTTAAACTTCCGTTCTTACAGTAACAATTGAGAGAAGTGAAAAGCAAAAACAATTAAACAAAAATAAAAGGATAAAGTTGTGAGGCCTTGGGCTGGCTACTTACTGCCTTGGAAAACAAAGTTACCCCCTCCGAGGGCAGGTTCCTGGGACTGCATGCATGATAAGAGAGCAAAATGCATCTGCTGGCTGCACTCTGCCTCAATCCTAGCTGGGAACGGTGGCACCTGCAATTGGAGCCAGGCACTACGTGCCAGATAAAATGCAATATTCCTAAATAGGAAGAAACTGTGCATTTGCTAACCAGGGTTACAATGAGCCCAGCTTAGCTTAAGTAATACCTGCTTCAGCAGAGACAGGATCTAGAAGACAGGGCACATGTCCCCAGGTAGCATGCCCATCTTGCTTTTTCAGGATAGAAAAGAGACTGAGAGAACATCTCAAATGTATCCAACATGGTCACCTAACACACAGCACAGACATACTTATTTTCTTCCTTTTGTCTGAAACAGCACCTGCTGTGCCATGGGTTGATTATTTGAACTGGCACAGAGTTCACAGTGAATATTTTTCCTGTAAGACTCAGATAAACTGCATGTCCATGGAACACATTAGCATGTATTTCTTAAAAAGTGCTCTTTGCCTTCAGCACAGCATAGGCAGCATTTGAATCAGCTGCTAACAATCTGAAGTACTTTGTAGATTAAAATCAACATTCAGTAGAGACCCATAAATTGACAGTGTATGTTCCTCATTGCCGTGGGGTTACAGCAGCTAATGAAATGTTTCTTCAGAATGACTACCTAAGTCACAAGCATGACTCTTCTCATTAAAAAAGTTTGATTACAGGATGGTCTGGAGACAGACTGTTCCTTCTGGGCTTTCTGGACTTGTTCCTTCCAAAAATCCACAATCACCTGTTATTTACTGTACTGTTTATCCTAGCCACAATCTTCCCTGAGTACACAGCAAAGACAAAATGCAATTTGCTGTTTATCCAGTTTCCTCCTCCTTGGAGTGGTGCTGTGTGCCTGCTTAGGGCCCTGTGCACGTGCGGGGCACTCACCCTTTAGGCTGGCTCTCAAACTCTTCTGCCCACTGCTCCTGGGCATCCTCCGTGGAGAGGTCCACATCCCGGGTTGTGGCAAAATTGAACTCGCTGCCCTCTGTCCCGTGGAAGTAGATGGAGTTTCCCTCCGACTGGCAGCTATGCTGTGGGCAAAAGCAGCAGATGGGAGGTGATGTTACATCAGGTTTGTAGCTCAGAGCGACCTGTACATTATCTAATGACTCACTGACATCTGAAGCAAAACAGAAATAAAAATGAAAAAAAGATGGTCATCTTTTATCTTTCCTGGCCAACCCCCAACAATGATTGTGTCCTAATCTTGTGCCTGCTCCCCTACAAATGAAAGTAGCTACACACTACTGAAAAACTGTGTTTGCAGAGAGAAGACATGTACCATATCTCGGGGTGTTTATTTCTATTTTAAAGTATTGCCACTATGGCTGGTACATAAACAAGTGTGTGGAAGAAATAACTTCAGTAGTATACCAAATACTGCTACGGGTATTTTGTCAGCATAAGAGTTTCACGCTGTGAAACACATCAGATCTCTGTGCCTGATTTTTTGCCAGAAGAGGTGTTTGTTTGTAAAATCACTATGCATTGCCATATAGTAAACTTTGGATCTGAAGCGTATGAGTGGAAAAGTTACATTTGCCATATTTAATTGGAATAGCATAAGAAAGAGCTCTATAGGCAACTTGTCCTTGTGATACAGCAGTCTCAGGGGTGCTGGGGCTACCCCTAAACCCAATGTATCTTCTTTTCCTATTGTATTTCTGTATACACCACCTCAGCAGCATCAAATGAAGCCATGCATCTGCCCTAGCATGCCCTGAATACCATGACTTTCCAGGAGTACTAACCTGGAAGAACTTGGCATTTTATTGAATTGTTCATATAACAACAAACACTGATAAAAGTAATAATTAGCTCAAACACTTTTTTGAGGGAGAATCTTGGTTGCATGAAAGTGAAAGCTGGAATAAGAAAGTATTAATTAGGATAATTCTGCATTCTTACCGCAGTTCAACATATGAAAAAGAGATACAATAATGCTAAATTGCATTGACCTTTTCAGTATCATCTATGCAGTGCTCTTGTCTCAGAATCTCTTCCTAACGTGCTGAGGCAAAGTATGACAATCACTTCAGTGTTTAAAAAGGTCATGGTTAGTGCCACATAAGTGAATAATTAAATTTTTAACAAAGAGAAAGATGTGGAGGAAATGAAAACTGGCCAGTCCGTCTTTGTCTATGGTATTTTATGAGCAAAGTAAAAAATAACACATTTTGTCAGATTCTGTAACTCTTCCTTCGTTTATCAATGCAGAAGAGACATAATTGAAACTTTTTTGTTGATGATTATGAAGTATGGTTGCCAATAACTTAGCAATTAATTTCTATTTAGGAATGTAATTCATGAATACATTTCTAGAGGTGCCTACACATTGGAAAAAAATCTAAGTACTTGAAGTCTGATTTTTGTATAGAGACTTTCTGGTCTATAGTCGAATGACAACAGCTCTGTGTTCATTAATACTGACTAACTATCACTTAAGGAAATAAGCACACCATAGAAATGTAAAGACTGTTTCAACACTGAAATAAACAAATTGCTGTTAAAGTGTTTTTCTTCCAAATAAAGGTCAAAGCAATAGAAAGATTCCGAAGTGTTGATAATTTATCACAGAAATTAAAGAGATTTTATCCAAGTCTCCTTGCTCTGTTAGTGCACTATATACACACTGCACCATGTATGCAGCTGCTGCCACTGAAAAGGCAGAACAATTTACACATAAAATATTTTATAACTAGCAGAAATTAATGAAACAGTTTTATTTCTCTTTGAAAAACACTGTACTATGCAGTTACTTATAACTGACTGAGAAACGGCTTTTACTTTATCCTTCATGCTCACATGTATTGCTAACAGCAGAATTTTAAGCATAATCTGTTTATTGTGCTTCTTGCTTTTCAGAATTTTCTTAATTTCCTGAACAGAAATGAAGTATTCTTTATCTGTCAATCTGCCACAAAACTTATCTGCAGGCAGTCAAGTCAATACAATAAAAATAAATATTCAGGCTAAACCCTAATTCAAATGTATACGTAACCCTTCATCTCTTAGGAAACAAATAGATGAATCAATCCTACTGAGATAGTTACTACAATTGCATACAAGCTTTGAAAAATCCATTATAAGCCTTATTTATTTCTCAGGTGCTAAGTTATATATACTTGACAGTGGAGTATGTAATTAGTAATCTCTTGCCTAATGAAAGCCACCTATTAAACAGAAAACAGATACAACCCCATTAACGTCTAATGTTTGCATGTCCTTCTGCTGTCTAACAGAAGTAGTACCTCTGATGGAGTTTCTATTTAGGTTGTCAAGATAAATAAATGGGCAGTTTGGCAAAGGGGTGCGTAAGTAATTATTTGTACAGTGGCGTATGATCAACCTTTTATGAAAGCTCAAATACATAATTTATTTCATTGGTTATATAAAATTATCTTCATGCTTTAGCACACAGCTACACAGTATCTATGAATATGTATCTTTATGCATATTTTCTGTGTTAATGAACCACAGAACGTATGGCTCAAGTCACCCTCTGCTCATGTTAGCTTTGAATCTCACATGAAACAGCTACGTAGAAGAGAAGTTCAGGCGGGGGTTTAACTCCTTCTGTTGTTCTACATACCTATGAAACCAGTAGTAGAAGCTCATTATTTTTAAAGAGAATAAGAAAGATGTTCAAAACACAGGTATGGCTTTTAAAGAAGTTCTCAGGGAGGGCCATCATTTTCTGGTATGTTTTTGTTCCAGTGCCACCATTTGGGACCCTGGACTCACGGCCATTGGAGAAGCAGACAAGGATGAGCTCTGTTTCATAGGATCAAAGAATCATAGAATAGTTAGGGTTGGAAAGGACCTTAAGGTCATCTAGTTCCAATCCCCTTGCCATGAGCTGTGCTGCCCCAACAAGGGCCAGGGCTCCTCTGCTCATGAGCTCGTTCTCTCCCAGCTGCCCCATTTCCCTCACCTGTATTATCATCACCCTCAATTCACACTTAGCTTCCATGTTTTCCTTTTCACTTTCCAAGCAGTAACTTTCTGTCACTCCCTTTACTGCCTTTTTTTTATATCTGATGGGCTGCTGAGGGGTGAATAACCCTAGGAAGCCAAATTTTCCAGGAGCAAAAGGAGCTCCACATGAGATGGTCCCTCACCAGCATCACCCCCAACTACCTTGTCAGTTTTGTTCAACATTCGGGAGGCTGCTGCCTGTACTGGATTATTTTGTGGCTTTGTAATAGGGCTTGAACAGATTAGAGACTGAATTGAAACCATCAGACTCATTTTTTCTTGGGTTCCACCCAGGATTAGACTCCAAGCCTTTAGAAACAAAGAACTAAAATACAATTTACATACTGTGTTGCCTCTTCCCCAGATTAAAGGCTTTACACTTGCAGTGGTAGTTTGTATACTTCTAGTATTTCAGAACTGAATTTTACAGGTCCTTTTTTTCTTATTATTTGTCATTCTAAAGTGATAAGAAACGTGGGATGAACACTTGTTGTGTTTTGAAACTAAATGGAATAAGTTATCCCTAAATTGGAGATACTGCATATCTCTCTATATAGATGTAGAGTTCTCTTCTACAAAATCCAGATTAAATGTGTTCTCTGCTTCATTTTTATTTACACTTAAACAATTTATAAGATAAGAACAAATCAGCTTGCTGTGCAAATGTTCTAACTAGAAAGGCCAAATGATATCAACCTGTAGGATATTTCTCCTTGTTACCGTAGAAGCATCAGCTGTAGGTCCAGAACTAAAGCAGAGTTTAATTTCATTTAGAGGGTATTAAAAGCATGTGAAATATTTAGTATGTCCTTGCACAAATTGCAACACTGAAAAGTTAACTAATTTGTAAGGAAAAATTCATTTAGAGAATAAATCATAGAATCATAGAATGGTTTGGGTTGGAAGGGAGCTTAGAGATCATCTAGTTCCAAGCCCCCTGCCAGGGGCAAGGGACACCTTCCACTAGACCAGGTTGTCAAAGCCCCATTCAACCTGGCCTTGAACACTTCCAGTGATGGGGCAGCCACAGCTTCTCTAGGTGACCTGTGCTAGTGTCTCACCACCTTCACAGTAAAGAATTTCTTCCTAATATCTAGTCTAAATCTCCCCTTTTTCAGTTTAAAGCCATTCCCCCTTGTCCTATCACTACCTGCCCTGGGAAAAAGTTCCTCTTCAGATTTCTTAGGCCCCTTTAGGTACTGGGAGGCTGCTATCAGGTCTCCCTGGAGCCTTCTCTAGGCTGAACAGCCCCAACAACAGCCTGTCTCCACAGGAGAGGTGCTCCAGCCCTCTAAGCATTTTTGTGTCCCTCCTCTGGACTTGCTCCAACAGGTCCACATCCCTCTTGTGTTGGGGGCCCCAGAGCTGAACACAGTACTCCAGGTGGGGTCTCATGAGAGCCAAGTAGAGGGGGAGAATCACCTCCCTCAACCTGCTGGCCTTGTTGCTTTTGACGTAGCCCAGCATGAGCTTGGCTTTCTGGGCTGTAAGTGCACACTGCCAGAACAAGGATGTTGTGCGGGACAGTGTCAAATGTCTTGCACAAGTCCAAGTAGGTGACATCAGCTGCTCTTTCCTTATCCACCAACACTGTAACCCTATTGCAAAAGCCTACAAAATTTGCCAGGAACGATTTGCCCTTAGTAAAGCCATGTTGGCTGTCACCTCCTTATTTTCCATTTATCTTCGGACAGTTTCCAGGAGGATCTGCTCCATGATCTTGCCAGGCACTGAGGTGTGACTGACTGTCCTGTAGTTCCCTGGGTCTTCCTTTTTCCCTTTTTAAAAATGGGAGTTATGTTTCCCCTTTTTCTGGGCAGTGGGAACTTCATTGGACTGCGATGACTTGTCAAATATAATGGATAGTGGCTTAACCACTTCATCTGTCGGTTCCCTCAGGACCCTTTGGAATCTGATAGCCTTAATTAAGGAAAGTTTTCTCCCAAATCACCTCATAATAGAACATAGGACATTCGCAGGCGCTTGTATGGAGCTACTTCCCAACAGTAGCTATTTCCCATTGTTTGCAACAGAAGTGGGACTATAAGCCTGC